TTATACATTGGGACAATTATGGCAGTTATTCACAAAATATAAAAATTTCTTATAACGTTATATAAAGAATTATTTAGAGAAATACCGATGAAATCCTCTCTTAAATAAAAAGATTTAGTTGCTATAAATGTATCCTAGAAAAAGTTTATCATACTAAAAATATTCACACTTGCTAATATTCTTAAATTATATTTATATACATTGTAGCAAACCACGTTCATTGTAGCATTAATGGCATTTTTTGAGTTTTTATGAAATAGATTAAATCTAAAAAAAAATCATAAAAATAACAATATATATAATAAATTAACTTAAATATAATTAACTAGTTAACACATTAGTAATCTTCTAGTTATAAATTCAAATTCTTATCCGTAATTAAATTCTAATACTCCAAAATAAAACAATATTCACATATTTTTATGGGGCATTTACAAATATGTCAAAAACATTTAGTAAAATTAGCAAAATAACAACCACATTTAGTTTTTTCAAAAAATAGCACTTTTAAAAAAACGGAGGGTCAATTTTAAAATGGCAACTTTACTCAAATGATAAATTTCTATAATATATTTGTAATATATTTGACCACTGATGTAATTATGTACTACTGATATGAGTGTGTGATATACTCACAATACGTATGTGATATACATATGATATATTTTTGATATGAGTGTTTATGCAATATATATGTGATATACATCTAATATACTATTGATATGAGTATTTGATATACTACTGATACGAGTGTCTAATATATTAATGATATAAATGAAAATTTTTACTATGTTTGAAAATTTAAAAAACAGGTGACATATTTTGAAAAACATAAAATATTTTTGCTACTCAGTACAATTTCCTTATTCTTAATCCTACACTACTCACATATAAGAAATTGAGAATGATAAAGTTAATTTATTTATTTAAAAAAGTTAACCATGCTCAATAGTTAGATAAAAAAGACAGAAAAGTTGAAAAAATGAAGAAAATATTGTAAAAAAGTTTTGAACATTTACGACCATGAGGCTAGACGACAAAATAACCAGCCAGGGACTAGAATATAATTTACGACCATGGTTTGGCGGATGTTATGTACTCTTCCACGTCTCTGGATTTTCGTTTATTAGGTTCGTTATTTTGTAAAAGCGCCAAAACTTCTTCTTTACTCGCTCAACTTTGCTTGCTCTCCCTGATTCAGGTTTGGTTCCTCTCTAACGTTTCTATCTGGGTTGTGCCTGAATTCTGAGTACTCCTGAAAATTGGGTGGTTTCTGGGCATGTTGGTATCTGGGAGTGAAGAACTAAGATAGGAAAATTTGTAGTCTTTATCGAATGTGATTCTGGTTTTGCAAATATTACTCTCTCCAACTCGGAACATGTTAAAATGTATTTTTTCTCCATGCCTATAATTATTAAATCATTCGGAGTTTATTGCCCATAAGATGTTTGTTGATATGTCTAACTGAACTATCGATTGCTTCTCAAGCCTCTTCAGCTGTATTTAATTACCCCATCCGGTTTTTGGTATTCAATGTCATTTCAGTTGCTACCATATAAAAGAAACAGATAATGTCGTGGGCTGTGTCAACTATTGTTCCCTCTGAAGTTCCTCTCGTTTATGGTGTTGCTACTGCTGGTCCATTGTTGGGTTGCGGCAACTTCTTGGATGTAGTTAGTCCTAGAAGAACGAGGTTTAATTTACCACTTTCAAAGAAGTGTTCAAGATTGATGACTTTTGCCACGGAGTCGAACCAAGTGTCTCTTTTTCAATCACGCACTTGGGAAGATCCAGATGATGGAAGTGGCAGCGAATATGATGAAGAAGAAGTGGACGAGTATGACTTGGGTTTAGAAAGTGATTGGGAAGGAGAAGGAGATGTTCAGGCCATCTCTAGCATTGATCATCCTGCTACAAACAAGTATGAGGAGGATCTTCAGAAAGGTTTTCAGTGGCCTCCATTAACTTGTTCAATCTGTTGTTTTTTGCCTTTGCATGTATGTTTTTTTCTCACAATTTTGTCACTAAGAATATTGGAAATATAATAAATGATTAAAGAGAAAAATAATTGTTTTGTCTATGAGGCTTGAGAACGGTTTTACTTTAATCTAAGTTTCAAAGTATACATTGTTTTGTGAAGGTACAACCATAAGCAGTTAGTTCTAGAATAAAAATACATGGTGCAAACAGTACTCTACTTTATCAAGTACCATCTCTCTTGGATAAGATATATAGTTGGAGACTGGACATTGTCACTCTGATGTTTAATAATATTCTGTGATAGGTGCCAGTGATCTTTTATTTGTGATTTATTTACAAATTTGCCCTATTTTCTCTGTGATAATGATACATATCTAAGATTTTAACCTTTCTCAGAATCTCGTAAAGATCAAAGGGCTGTTAATTATTGCAGAGGTTGAACAACTTTTGGAACCCGAAGAAAGAGCGATTCTGCAACAGAATGCAACTCCCAATGTGGAAAAACTGTCAACTGTAATGATGAAAACATTAAATTAACTTTTTTCCTCTTATCTATCTTTTCTGAAAAGGCAGCAACTTTCTTCTCGGTAGCTTGCTTATTTTTCTTTACACTTTTATTTAGAGCTATCTGCTTGACAAAAAAAAATTCTTGTACCTTTCATATTCAGCTGAAATGGAATCCACTTCACACTTTTGCGCTATCAGGGCAGATTATTCAAATGGACAAACTACTTGAAAGTGGATTTGACATTGACTCTGTTGATGAGGTGATATTACTGATATCCAATTTCTTTTCTACTTTTTACATTTTGAAATCAAAGCTTCTTTACATGAACTTGTAAGTCAAGGATTTATGTGGTGAATCAGGATGGTTTTTCTGCTCTCCATAAGGCAATTATAGGCAGAAAGGACGCTGTCATTGGACATCTTCTAAGAAAAGGTGCAAGCCCTCATGTCAAAGACAAAGTAAGGATTTTGTTTAGTTATACTGCTTCCCCTGTTAATTTTCTAGGACTTTGCTTTCAGAAAAACCATGGCCCTAAATAATTGTCTTCTTGATAGAATGGTGCTACCCCACTTCATTATGCTGTTCAAGTTGGTGCAAAGCAAATTGTGAAGCTACTAATCAAATACAAAGTTGATGTCAATGTTGCAGATTCTGTGAGCTTTTTATTTCCTTCAGAAAACTACAATTATTGAAGTATTTTGTTCAGTTTTCTTGCTTCTAAGTTCTAATAACAAGTTCCCGTCTAACACTTGTTTAGGATGGATGGACACCGTTGCACATTGCCATCCAAGGTAGAAATAGAGATATAACAAAAATATTGCTGGTCAATGGAGTAGATAGGAACAGAAGAAACAAGGTAAGTTTTCATAACCGATTCATCAAAATATTCCAACTCTGCAAATTTGAAATTCCGAATGTGTAGTCTGAAACCATACATGTTACAGAATTAAGATTTAGTATTAAAATCTTTCTATTCTACATGAGTTTTTCATTCTGTTTCTGGAACGGTTGACACGACATCATTCTTGTATTTCAGGATGGAAAGACAGCCTTGGATTTGAGTCTGTGTTATGGGAAAAACTTCAAGTCGTATGATCTTTCGAAGTTGCTAAAAGTAGTGCCTCTTTATGGAGCTTTTTGATCTGAGTAGGGATGTATCAACTTGAAACATCCTTGTGCCAGAAAATTTTTGTATTGAACACTTGGTACAATCTTTTGTATAAATCTCAGAAAAGCTTGGTTGCGTAATTTTCTCTCTTCATTTGCCGAAATGCCTTAATGGTAGTTTTTCTGTTCAATCAAGCTGATTAAAGAAGCTTCTGAATGGGCGAACTTCATTCTAATAAGAATATCATGCTAGAATTCGAGCCTTGTGTTAAACATCAGACTTCTCTAAGATAAAGGATTATGTGGTGATTTTCCCATCACAGCTGAGCGAGAGTCTTATCAAAGCCAGTTGCCCTGTTGCCCAGCAATGAATATTAGTCTTTGGTAGACAAACAAATAGAGAATGATCAATATTTGATCATTGAATGACATTTGAGTTGTTTAAACAGTTCTGTTCCTAACTTTTATTTTTTTGAGGTGGTTTACAAGTAAATTAAGGATCCTAGCTTTTAAAAATCGAAATTTTGAAAAGATGCGGGGAGTTTTTGCAGTGTGGGCGGCAAATTCCTTGTTATTGTCAGCTGGCCTGCAATAATTAAGCCATGGAGGCTCTGAATCGTCACATTTGGCTCGTGTGGGCGGTGCCGTATTCAAATGCTTCTTCAAAGCAAGAAACAATTCTTGGTTCGCATCTTGATACTTCCTATGAACTTCTCCGGCCAAATGATCCTTATGTCACTATAAATTCCCACCAAACTGAAACAGCAACATATACCATCTGAGTCCAAGCAAGAAAAAAGAAGGATTAAGGAAGATGGGTGTTCAGAAATGTTTTGGTATGTGTCTGGTTTGGGTTGCTTGTTTGCTTCTTGCCATGGCTGCAGAAGCAGAAGCTCAGAGCTATGACTATGGCTCCAACAATTCAGCTCAGACCACATCTTCCCACACAATGCTCCTCAAGTTGCTGGGTTTTGTTGTTTCTTTTCTGGTTCTCAAAGAGATGGTTTGAGTAAATGAGTTATCTGATTTGCCATTCTGTTTTGCAAGTTAAGGTCCTGTTTCTTCTTCTAGGATTTATGTTCTGCTTTGGAGTTTCTAATGCCATCATGAGAGGATACATGGTGACATTTGAATTGACACTATTTGTATTTGAGATGAAATTTCTGATTGTGCATTTAATAAAATTGAAGTTATTCCCATATGTGTAATGGTGTGTTCTTTACAGTTTACATTTTGTTTAGTTGAGATTGAATCTCAGATGCCTCTATTTTCTGTTTGAGAGAGGAAAAAAATTGTCATCCTTGTGCTAGAATAAGTAACATTTAGATTTTATTATCACCCACTAAGTTGAATGGAGAAGCATGAGGAAACGCTGCAAACTCCTCGTCCAATTGTTTTACCCTATTTATATGCATTAACACACCACTGCAAAATTCTGTTGATTCCATTGTTGCTTCATTTTACATTTTGTTGCACACATACTATCTAAAGCGAAGAAAAAAAAAAGATTGACAACTCAACCTTGGTGTGGTAGCGGGTTGTGGACAAAAATTTCTAATATTACAAGAGTATGAATACTGCTTCCATTCACTGTCTGCAACATCAACATTGTATTAAAAATGACGAACATCTTCCTCGACTACTTTAGTCGTCAATATTTTTTTTAAGCCTGTGTGATAAAAATTATAATGGGGTAGCTTACCAAATTGTGGTGTATTGACATCAAATACACAAGTAAACTTTTATAATTTTGAAGAATACGACAAATTAATATTACTTTTCTAGTAAATTTCACAAGCCATAAAGACTCTACGCCTGAATGTGTTTCTCATGGATGCATAAGCCTCTTGTGAAGGCTAAAATATTTGAGGTTAGGAGGCTCAAGGCATAAGATTGATGAATAGGCTACTAATAATCGGGAATATCACACGTACAGTACAGTCAATCTGAGCATAGCTCGGTTAAGATATATATCTTCAACCAAAAAGTCGGAGGTTCGAATCCCCAACCTCACAATTCACATGTTAAACTCAAAAAAAGAAGAAAAAAGGTGATAGCCATTAATACGACTTGGTATGAATGTTTATAACAAATTAAGGAAACAGAGCAATAGAGGGATCTACAACACCACCAGTCCCAACCTCAAGGACGTACAGCACATGAGGGTAGCTCGGGATCGGATTCTTTATGATAGTTACCGCCTCTTCTTCACATAAAACCAATCGTTCAGAATTGTGCAGATAGACCCCTCCCCAATGCTCTTATTCCTACTTGTGGATTCTCTCTTTACTAGCTAATCATATGCTTGTACGAAAACGAAAAACGAGTACCGAAATGGACCAATATCAATTAATAACGTAAACTCAAAATGATGAGATTAGGCCATGGAGATATCCTATGAATCAAAGATATATTACAACTTACAAGACAGATGAGATAGAGATTTACCAAGCATTGTATAATTCAGCTACTTTTCGAGTTACATCTACAGCAGAAGGTCTCAATAAGGCTTTTCTGCACAAATCTAATCTACAACTCGACCAATGAAAATGTTAATGATCTAAACAAGAACAACTATTCTAAATCTTTCAAATACATTTCAACAGAATCTTCACAATGAAAGGCTGTATCTGCAGAGTCATCTCAAAGAACCCAACAAGTTTAGAGACTCAGTGAACCAACCCAGAAGGTGTTTCCTTTCCCTCACTAACCACAAATCAATTGTGTTTATTAAAATGCACGAGCAAGTAAGGTTCAACATCAATAGGAAGACAATATGGTTAAGAAAAAGGGTAAAATTCATAACACAAAATACAAAATGCATCCTTATTGGTAATGCTCTAGCGTCTAAATAGGACTTCTAAAACAGCTACAATAAATTTAAGGGGTTGTACAAAGTTCATGGGGGAAGAACTATCAGATCAAAAGCATAATAATGGCGTCGAAGCTTCAAGCTTCGACAATGTTACCAAGAACAAAAGAGAACAGCTCCCGAACAGGAGAAAATTCCACCAACCCGATATCAATTGCGTACCCGGAAACTGGCAACTTCAAATCCCTTAGAACACAAAATGCCTCTGCCATTCGAGCCTTGGGCACATCCTGAGCAACAGCGCAATGGGGAATCCAAGAGCCCAGGCGATATTCCTCCCCGATTTCGATTCCTTCTTTCCTCATTGCTTCGCACAATTGAGACTGGAATTGGAGGAGTGAAATTGTAGGCGCAGGACCCAGAAAGAGGATGTTGTTGTCATTGGGAAGGCTGCCTATTGACGATAAGGACAAAGGCAAGGGGTCCTGTTTAGAAGCGAAATTTTTAACGATGGATTCGACTTTCGCGGGTTCGACGAAGGGGCAGGAGAAGAGGGTAATGTGAGGGCGTGATTCAATCTCGATGAGCTGCGTACTAATTTGACGGCGGGCTAGTACATTCCAAGCCTTGAGAACCTGATTTTCAAGTGCCGGATCGAAATAGAGCTCGATCGCAAACCCTTGTGACATCGCCTCAGAACTCAGAATTCAAATTAGTGAAAAACGGGGAGAAATAAACAGAACCCAGGAGTCAATTCCAAAGTTCAGAAAGCAGAAGCTGGTAACAAGAGAAGATCAGAAGTACCCGAAACGGGAAATTAAAAACCCTAGAGATTCAACACAAAAAGAACAAAGAAACAACAAAAACCCAGAACCCAGAAGAAATTTCAGGATACAGATGCAAAGAGAAAACTAGGAAAACGCAACAAGGAGCTTAATTGGGAAATGGGAAATGGGAACTTTGAGAAATAGAAGAGTTCCCAGTTTCCAGAAGGGCGATGGGAAGGAGATAAGCGATAAGAAATGGAAGAAGGGAAGGTGGGAAAGCGGTGAAGTGAAGTTATGAGTGGGAAACAGAAAGAGGGATCATCAAAGGAGAGGTTTTTGGAAGAAAGTGTTGGAGATGAGAAGCCACTTGCCAGAACCCGAACCAGATTAGGTGTCCTCCGAATGGATCCAAACGAGGAACTGAAGACACAGAGAGAGGGAGAGAGAAGGGTGCATCGGCCGGCCCGCTTGAACCACCCAGCCAACCAACCACCGTAAGCCTTCAACTTGGAATCCGTTTGGTGGACCGAAATTGTTCTTGGAGAGAGGTAAAGTTAACAAAGTTTGAATAATTTAATTGTGTCTTTTGAATTTTGAACTAGAGAAGATGAGTCAACATCTATCTTTTACTAACCACGRTTAAAATTTTGATATGTAGGAGAGTAAAAGAAAAATAAAAAGTTGTCAGATTTTGAGTGGTAGTTTGCAGGATAGGTAGGGACTCCAACAATGAAGTATTTTTCTTATGAATATTGGGGTTATAGGTTGGTATGTTTGCATAGTCTTTTTCTACTTTATTAAGCTATAATTTAATTAGACCACATCGTCGAGTTATAAATAAGATATAAATTTCATTCTGGTTCGTGAGCTTTCAAATTTTTCTTCTACTTTGGTTCTTGAACGTTCAAAAACTAATTATTCTTGTTTTTGCTAGGTCATTTTACAACATGATATTGGCTTACCCAAAGTCATGCTATCAATTTGTTAGAAAAAAATAAAGGTAAGAACCAAAATGCTTTTTTTTTTAATAAAATTCAAAGGGTTAAAATCTCTGCTTTTTTTAGAGTTTAAGTGCCCAAATGGAATGGATCTAGCTAAAGAATTATAGGGAAATGAGTCTTTTAAAACGAGATTAGACCCATAAAAAATGATACACGATACAATGACGTTGCTATGATGATTCGTTCGTAACATCTTACGAAATAACAAATTATGATATATGATTAGGTAGACTTTTGTCACCAAGTTGCCTTAATTGGATACACTTAATATCATATTCATCGATCAATTTCATCACAAGGTCTTCCATCAAAGATCTTCATATTTTATTACTAACTCAATATAGTTCAAGTAGGTAAAAACACTTATCACCATTTTTAAGGTTGATGGTTTGATCTTCCACCTCATAAAAGTAGAAAAATTTTTGGATAATAAAGTAAAAAGAGACGTGGGTATTCGAAGATGCATTATACAAAATAATCTCCTCAATTTTTTTTTTTATAGAATCAATCAAAATCATTTGAAATTGTAATGTATATATACATAAACTCACATTTCATTGATACATGGTCAAAAGTGTTGAAAAGTTTTACAGCCCTATGACATACTCTAACCACAAACATATTGTACAATTTCCTCCCACATGCTTGGCCATAGCCATAGCTTGAAGGTAAATAAAATTAAAGTTGTATGATAAATTTTCTTGGCCTTTTCACACATGATCTGAACTGTATCTCTGTGTCTTATAGGTACCAAGAAGAGGTACTTTCTGGTCTTCATGTGATTCCATGTTAGCAGTGAGATTATGGGTATGGCCTTCTTCATCACCCATCTCCTCTTCTTTTGCTTTTCCCCACATCACAGTATAAAACCCTATGGAAATAATGGATGCTCCAATAAGACTGCAAGGCAACCAAATTTCAAACAGCTTCTTCAAGTTAGTTGATTAAGTGGTAGAATTGATGCAAGAAACTTGAGGTTTTCGAGTTAGAAATCAATCATATAGTTCAAAATGGGACAACCAACTCATGAAAACCATCTCTCCATCTCTCTTCGTGATCATACCTTCCAAGATAGAGAGAATCACCAAGAAACAGAACGCCCATTACAATAGCAACAACAATCGACAACGGCTTAAACATCGCTACGAACACCGGCCCTTTCAAGCGGAGTGCCCATGTATGAACTGTATTATTTATGCATGACCCAAAAACTCCCTGAAAACATAGAATAAAGAATGATAAGGAAAGAGCTTATGTTGAGATTGTTACATGAATGTATTTTGTTGGTTCTTACAGAGCACAAAACAGAGGCCAATGCTGTATTTTGCCTCAAAAGCCAAGCACTTGAATCCTTCTCTAAAATCACACCTACAAGTGCAGCAATGATGGCCACAGTTAAGTTGTAGAAGAAGATCACTGTGGCCTCCTCTGGATATTCCTTCATGATTTTTGTCTGCCAAAATGCTCAAGAGTTTCAAATTTTATATATGCTTTCTCCACTATTGAACAAATGACACATTTAGCCCCAGTAGATTACCTGAACAATGTACCAGAGTGGAACCAAGATATATTCAGCAGTCAAGAGAAGGCTGCCAAGGACCCAATTAGAATCTGAGGGTGAGGAGTTAAGTGAAAGAGATGTTGTGGTTGTGGTTGTTGAAGAGAATATGATGCTTGGACCCTTGTAAAGAGTGACTACAAATGCACCTGATATTGATATTATGGTGCCCATCACTTTTGCTTGACTGCTACTGCTTTTCAATACCACTTTCTCCATCCTTTTATTATGCCCCACCACACAGTACACACATAATTAATCACATTATTAGTGAATAACCAAGGATAACAAACCAACCTCTCACAAGAGTCAAGTAATAATTAATGGAGAAAGGGACTTCACATGCTTTATTATTCTAAATAATAACATCATAAAAGATCACAAAAACATCTCTTCTCATTTTGATTACCATGGGACAAAACAGCTTCATTATGTTGATATGTTGTGATAAATTTAGCTTAACTTTTGAGTCATTTAGATCAATTTATCAAAATTTTAAATTATTATGATATAAAAAGATAAAACTTATGTTCATTTTCTTAGTTGTTAATTTTTAAATGGTGGTAAATAAGGGATACTTACAAGACAAACACCTGAATAAAGGATAAAAGTGTCTTTTCAAACAAAAGTTCAATTCATTTTTATATTTTGCTAATTGAGCACACATAGGGATAGCCTCTCTCTATCTCTCTACAATTTCTGAAGTGAGAATTTTTTTGTGGAAGGCTCATGCCTCACAGTCACGCTTTAACAGGAGACGTGTGTTACACATGCTCTTCACACTTTACAAGCAAAAAAAGACAAAATAAAAAATAAAAATAAATAAAAGGGATTTTTCATAAGAAAAAAATTAAATGTATTGATTTTGAAATTTTGGCAAGAGAGAAAAAATAAATATTTTATAAATAAGCAAGAATCTTATTGCAAGACAATTATTATTGATTATTTGAATCCATGAGGAAGTTTTAATACATTTGTCATAGTGTCAAAGCGAGCATAGCTCAATGATAATTGACATATATCTCTAACGAAAAGGTTGTAAGTTCGAACCTCACCCTACACGTACTCAAAAAAAGAAAAAAAAATACACTTATCATAGTACTCAAATAATAATAGAAGCACACAATTGACAAAATTAAGCTAACTTAAATTTAAATCTCATCCAATAACAATTTCATTTATTATTTTTTTAAAAAAATAAACTAATTTATTTTCATTTCTTTTTTTTTATATCCGTTAGTGTCCTGGTAAAAATTATAAATAAAATTGTTAAATAATTTTGTCATCTCTAAAGGAAGGTCCTTGCAAGATCCCTTTCTTTTTTTGGAAGAAGATGTATATGTCCTTTAATAAAGAGAGTGGAAGAAAAAAGCAACATAACCTTTTTTTATCAATTAAATTTTTTTTTGGGTGGGCTAAAAATGGATGTAAATAATTGCAAAGGAAAAGACAATTTGTTTTGTCTCACATAACAGTGACCCCCAATAAAAGGAAAAAAAAAACTTCATAAATTAAAAGATATACATACAAAGTGTTAAAAAAAATATAAATAAAAACATGTATTAAAAAAAGAGTCTGAGAACATTTATTTATTTATATATTTACATAAAATTATGAATACGGTACATTAAAGTTTTTTTTTAATAGATAAACCGCATAAACTCAACCCTTTGAAGAAGCAAAACATATAACATGGCCCCATTTGTTGCAATTGAAAAGACTGTAATTACTTTAATAATAAGAAATAATAAAATAAACTCTTTTTTTTTTTTAATTCATGAATTGCTAATTTGGTATCTGTTGAAAGTTGAAAAACCCCACTTGACTTTGAAGGTGGGGAAAATAGGAGCCGATATATATTATTGAAGAAATCTTATAATCCACACATTAAGTAAAGTATAATACTATCATCTCTATAATGAAGCGAAATAAATAATTTTTTCTGTTTCAAAATTCCAGTTTTCTCCCTAATTCTTAAGCATTTCGGTTTATCTTTTTGAATGACTCTTGTTTTCTTAATAAATCATTAAAATTCATTATAATAAATTGGTCCATTCGACTAAATACATACATATGATTTATTATTATAGAAAATGGATTGAAACTTGTTATTATAATAACTACTATTGAAAGTTTAAATCGACACTCCACTCGACTTAATTAAAATTTTATAAAGATTAAAAGATAAAATTGAAAAAGCATACGAACAACAGACAAAATATACATATATATTTAGCTTTTCATTTAAGAAAAAGAATTGAGGTGACGGAAAATTACAGAAATGACACGAAAATATTATCAATGAGCCATTGTAATAAAAGGGTGTTTTGGTAATAAGAGAAGGAGTGGGGGAGAAGAGAACCTGAAAATGATGGCGAGGATGAAAGTGAAAGCAGGAACAAGGTTGCTGATGGCGGAAGCAAGAGTCGGAGAACTGTAATTGATACCCGTGTATCCCATTATCTGTGAAGAAGACCTGCCAAAATCACAACAACGGCTTCAATTCATTCGATCGATTTTCAAATTTGAACAGAACAAAACGAAAACGAATTTAAATTTAGCGAATCCGAATTAGGTTACAGAAATTGCAGCGACATATATACCCGATGATTCCGAGAAGAGCGATTTTGGAGAGTATGGAGAAATTGAGCGGTGGAAGTCGTGTTGATCTGGAAAAATCTCTGGAAGTTCAGATAACAATCGAAACAGAGAGAGAGAGAGAGAGAGAGAGAGAGAGACCTGCGAGAGATGAAGGGAGAAGGGAGGAGGAGGAGGGCGGCGACGGAGTAAGAATAGACGATGAAGACGTGGCGGCTCATGCCGGCGGCGGTGGCGGCTTTGAAAAGAGTGTTTAAACCGACGTTGATGCACTCCATCGTTACCATCGCCGGAAATGGCAGAACGCCGTCCACCAAATATCTTCCCGCCATCTCTCTCGCTAATTGATTAGGGCCACAGAGGAAGAAATTTTATACAGAGGATTAGGAATTGCTTTCCTCTGTTTTTTGTTCACTCTGTCGTTGAAGAACAGAGTCGCCAAATCGGGCATATATAAGTCAATTTCAGAAATAATCTTACATCAAATAAATAAAATTAAGAAAGATTTTGGTATCTCTTTTTGTAAGCAATTTAATCTGAAAAAAGAAAATATACTATGTTGGCTTGCCACAAAATTCAAATATGTCTTTAGAAAAAGTTAAAAAGCTAAATTGAGCTCAAAATTAACATATTCGTTGACTTCTTCCCAATCGCGCTTAGAAAAAGTTAAAACAATATTAGAGGCTGATTTGTGTCGAGCTACTGAAGATCGACTCTCGATGCATAGGAACGAGCTGCATAAGTAAAAATATGCACACAAAACAAACAAATCCAAGTTAGTTCGAGTTCAAATTGAGTAGGTCATTTTCAAACAAAATAACGTATCTAAATCGTATGAATAGTGTCCCACTTTGAGAGGAAGTTGGGACTGTCATATTTGAGGTTGATCTCCCTTTAACTCGGTCATGTTTACTTGCGAAGAATTAGTCGGATTTATGGACTTCTTCAGATGGATCCTCAGGTAAAACTTGATCTCTTTCAAATACGCACCGATACTATTGATCCACATGTCATATTAATTTTTACCATCCAACAAACAATAAGAGCTTCATTTGCTTCATTTACATCCTTCAACTTTATGAATGAGTTGAGATCGTCTAACATAAATGAATTTAGAAATAATAGCTTATCTATTAGTACTTAAATTTGACAGTTTTTAGATTTTAAAAAAATTATATCCATTTTTACATTTCTCTCCTCTATTTATGAAAAATTGTAAAAGTTAGTGGTGGTTAAGCAAAACATGAATGGGAAGCACCGAACTAGTATGTCT